AAGCGTGGCCGTTTTTTCACGGGGCTCCCTTTGGAGCCGTCCTCACCCCCGGCACCTCGTTTTTCGCCCCGATCCTCTGAAATCGGCCGAACTTCCGTACTCGGGCGCTCGACCTCCTTTTCCGTCTCCGCCACGACAACGTGAGTTGTTTCTTGTACGACAACGGGAGCAATAGATTCAGTCGGGATAAGTCCGGAACGGATGGCTACGGCTTTTTGTCGGGCGGCCATGCGTTCGGTATTCCTTTTTCGTTCCATCTGCGTAAGATTATCCCCGGCCATATCCTTAGAGAAATCTCCAGGAAGATCTCCCAAGTTCGTAAAGATATCTTCGGCGTCCCCTTGGCCTGATGTAGACGGAGGATCAGGAGAGTTCAACCCGGCTTCTTCAAAGGCCGAATTGATGGCTTCATCAACTTCCGCGGCCAACTCCTTCGGGTCCTCGGCGATAGGTTCGACAACTTGTCCTTCCACGTGCTTAGAATTAGACGATTCGAGGCTAATTTGCCTCAAGTTTTTGAAGCTGGGGAAGATGAGGGTCGTCAGTTAGTTATCGCCTCGCGTTGATGGGAATATTATCTGCCGCCGAGAACATCGTGTAGGTTGGCTCGTACCCCAGGAGAATGTAGGCTGCCCTCCCTTGTTTCTGAAGGTCTAGATGGCCGACGAACTGTAGCGCGGTTTTAATTTCTGCGAGCACAACTTTGTCGTCTGAAGTCAACACTCTCTTCAAGTCGCTGCCTACGTAGACAAAACGATTAGGTGAGCTAAAGTACCGAATACATGCATATGTAAGTAACAGAAACAGTGATTTGGTCGGCTACCTGGTTCGCCTTTTTGCCTCGACACAGGATCTAGGTGACCTTCCCCTTCGTCGAATTCCCAATTACCGCAGACAACGACCATCACGTCATCGACACGCTTGCAAGAGCTAGCAAGCATGGTCACTAAGTGGTGGTCAGTGTCCTTGGCTCTAAAGAAGTAGCGTCCCAGACGGCCAGTAGACTTGGCTATAACATAACAGTGCCGAATAGCGGGAATACCTAAATTGACTCTAAGACGTCGATTTATCTCTACAATGCCTATTATGATGCGAAAGAAGTTCACATTGAGCTGGGAAGGAATAAGACCCTAGTACCGAAGAACGGCCCTCAAAAGTGGGTGAAGAGGAAAACGGACGCCGCCCTCAACAATCGATAGGAGAGGAAAGACGATTGTGTTCTCGTCTTCCCTCACTATATCAGTAGTGCTGTCTGCCACAAGTGACAGATGGACGTCGTTAGGAATGGAGAAGTGGCATCGAAAGCTGGAGATTCGATCCGCAGAAATGAGCTCTTTCAAATGTTTCGCCATTCTTGCCGACGCAAGGATTACGGAAAACTAAAAGCAGATAAAGAGGGGGGATCAAAAACATGTAGGAGAAGAAAACTTACAAGAGGCGAAGGAAAGATCGAGAAACAAGGGGTTGCAGAAGCCGCAGAATGTAAGAGTCCCACTGGAAGACGAGCCAAATATCTTCGAGTATTCAGAGCATACATTTGAAGAGACAAATTCAAATCGCATTAAATAGAGGCAGCGTACGAAGAGGCGGGAAAACGTTATAATGACCAAGAAGCATGTACGCGTTCTGACATGCATCGGGAAGAGGAATAACCGCCGGATTTCTAACCTCCAGACTAGAAGCCAAACACGCCGACTAACTGGTGCTAGTGGGGTGTTTGGGGGGCAATTGTGGGAGCCGAATAATTTTGAATGAACAGGAGCATACCAATTCGGTCCAGAACATAACTTTTATTCGGCATTGACCCTATCTAATTTTGGGGCAGAATAAAAGAGCCGGCATTTCTACCAGTAAAACAAAGGCCGTGTAGAAGTACATGGCAAGGACTAGGAGTGGACCAGCCCCGAGGGCCTCAAGAGAATACTATAAATACAAGATCTTCAGTCCTAAAGAGATATGTGAGAATTACTATGCTTAGCTTAGAATACAAGCCTCCTCGAATGTAAATACTAACTTGCCCGTCGGAGTGCTAATTTCGGTACCCCCGACCGGAGTGTTTATTCTTTTTCAGGTGACCAGAAGAGGATCACGAGCGTTCCCCAGGATCCCGAAAAGTATTTCCAAACCACTTACCCACAACATGCATGTATGTATTGAGCTTCAATTCACCAATCTTAACTTAAACCTAACATGAGTCCATTTAATTCACTAGAATTCTTACATTAACAAATCAATTCCATAATTAATAGGGTGAATGCCTACCTGAAGTCTTGAATTCCTCAATGTGAAGGCTCTAATATGCAAATCCTTCTATTCCTCCTAAACTCTAAGCAAATCCCTTGTTGAATCCAACTTCCCCTTCAATTCTCTCTCTCTCTTACATTTTGCATCAGAGGAATGGAGGAGTGAAATGAAAATGTGGGCTAGTGGAGTCTAAAATGGTCCATAAGTGGTAAGTGATCAAAAAGTAAATAATAGCATTATTTTAATCTAGTTTAATCATTCCGAACCGAACTTTAATTAAATCTACCATAAAATTCTATAAATTCTAACTAGCACATATATCAAGTCAATTTCGAAATCGGGCGCCGATAAGGCTTTCAATTCGTAATTCAAAACGAAAACATGAACAGATCTTTCTACAACGAACAGATAGAGACACAAAAAGTAATGCAATACATATGCAAATTAGTTCCAAATCCTTCCTAAATTATTGTTAGGCTTAACTAAGCACGAATTAACATTAATCTGGGGTCGGGGTTATTACAAAGGCGTAGGGCAAAAGGGCGCGCGTCTGGACCAACATGTGGGTCGATAGGCATTGGGCCGATGCGCGGGTCTAGGCACTGACAGATGGGCCGCGACTCTGGACTACTGGATTAGGTCTCTGTTGTGCTGGGTTGGGCCGCCTGCTGGGTTGGCCCAATATGATTCTTTTCAATACTTAAGCCTAGTGCAACAAGTTTTCTTGCTGTGAGCCTAATTCTTGGACCTTTCTTTTTTGGTTTTGGATTTGGCCCAATAGCTTGAATTTTCAAAACAGATGCACCAATGGTATTATTACTCCGGTTGTCTTCTTTAGTGACGGGTGTCAGAGACCAAACTGTGAAATTTGATTCTTTTGGTTCAATCATTTGCCTTTTTTCACAACGAATTTCACTGTTGTGATCAAAATTCTGAGAAGAACAAGATGGTACTAATGTGAAGATGCTAATAGGATCGAAAATTATTTCGTAAAATTTCTTCCATTGGTATAATTCGGCTACACTTTCGGTAAGATTTTGTATAATGTCATCACCAACTGTTATTTTCTTTAGACATTTCTCTGGGAATACAAAGCGATGGTGATAATTGAATAAACAAACATAATTAACCAATGCTAAAACTTGTCGGTCAATAACTCATTGAATTTTCGGTAAAAAGATTCAGAAAATTTTTGTTCTTCCGGACTATAGTTCAACATCTGCGATTATGTGTAAACAAGGCTTTGATACCACTAAAAGATAAACTTTACAATGGTAAATTAATTGGAGATCCCGTGAGGGTGTCTATTACACAAGATGGCTAAAAATCCAGAAAGCGAAAAATGTAATATTCGTTGGGAAATCAAGTGAGTTTAATACACTACTTTGGCCAAGTATTTATAAACATCATGGTGACTTTGTAGAAAGTCACAACCTTTGGAAAATTATACAAGAGGAAAAAGCCATAATGCTTCACAAAGCATTGTGCCTCTTTATTTTGAATTCAAACCCAATTTTCCAGATTCTCTTTTCTTCTTGCGGAAAGGTTTATAAATCACCACTTATGTGGGCTATGATTTGGTGTGAGAAGGTCCACCGTATTATGGTGTGAGCACCTCACATCCCTTCAAGATGGGCTGAAAATAAAGGCATATTTTTGGCCTAATGGGCATAAAAAGAAAGAGCTCCAATTTGGGTGATTCTATTTTCACCCAAAGTAACTTAGTATGCTTAATTAAAATTTTGAAATTTTAATTTTTAGTATATCTTAATGTAAATTTACTAATAAGGACAATAAACATTAAATCCTAAAATAAAATATTCTTTTTTCTTATGGTACACCATAATTATTTATACATGGTTTTTATATTCAAGTTTTTTTTATCTTCTTTTTTAAGTTTCAATTATTTTCTCTTCATTTTCTTCTTCACTCAAACTCGAATCTAGTCTGATTGCAACATAATATAGAACAAAAAAGATAAAAGTAAAACCCTAGAGAGAGTCATACAAGACGGAAAAAGAAAAAAAGAAAAAAACAAAACAAAAATTGAATAAACAAACAAGTTCAATGTGAAGAACACAACCGAGTTCATCTTTGTCTATATTTGGGTATATCACGACAGAGATGGATTTTGGAAATGTTTTGCTTGTGAAAAGATTGAATGAGCTTCAGTTTACAATAAATTTTTTATTTTTATTTTTATTTTTGTTTTAGAGATTGTGAAACACGTTTGTTTGATTATTATATTATTTAAATTGATCATCAAGCGGTGAAGTTATTAGAGAAAAATGACAAACCGCCATCTGATGATTTGAATATTGAAACCTCAAGGAAAAGCACTAAAGTACTGCCATTGACGGATCAACGAAAGAAGAAAAAGAAGAATGTGAATAAAATTACAGAAATGAATGATTTTGGTGTACCATAAATTATTATTTTATTTTAAAGAATAATTTATGAAAAAATATAAAATGTACTGAAAATAAATTTTAATGTTAAATAATTTAATAAATAATAATAAGAAATTAGAGGTACTAAATAATTTTTTGGATGCAAGTAAAATCACCTCAATTCTTTTTTTGGGTACATCGGAAAAGAAAAATCACCTCAATTCTAACAACTTTTAACAGTGAAAGAGCCCATTCTCTCAGTCTTTTGCATCTTTGGCCCAACAGTTTTCTTAATTTGACTAAAGCCCCAAAACTTTTCCCAATCTCCCGATTCTTCCCAAAATTATTAAAACACCGCCCCTGAATAATTCATAATCGAAGAGTTTCTGGATTCCCCTCAGCTTCTCTGTAATCTTCAGCTCCATCGAAAGCAACTAGGGTTTCGATCTCCACTCGTTTTCAGGTGCGCCACCAACGCTATCTCTCTCTCTCTCTCTCTCTATATATATATATATATATATCATACAGACACATATATATGCATTGTGTGTATAGCAATGGCTTTGGAGACCAAAGAAGATGGTTTGAAGAAACTAGAGTACCTTTCATTGGTCTCCAAGGTTTGTACAGAGCTCGAGTCCCACTTAGGGTTTGGGGACAAGGTTTTGGCCGAATTCATTACCGAGATGGGAAGGAACTGCGAGACTGTTGAGGAATTCGATTCGATGCTCAAGGAGAACGGTGCTGAAATGCCTGATTACTTCGTCCGCACTCTTTTAACTATAATTCACGCTATTTTGCCTCCGAAATCCAAGTCCAAATCGGCCAAAGATTCGAAGAAAGATGGGTCTGAAGGTATGAAATCGAGTTTTCCGGGTCTTTCGATTGAGGATAGTAGAGCGAGAGTGAAGGAATTGGAGAGAGAGATTGAGATTGAAACGAGGGAACATCGAGGAGATGGGGAAGAAGAAGAGATTAGAAAACGTAGGGACAGAGACAGAGAAAGGGATAGAGGTCATAGAGATAGGAGAGAGAGGCATAGGGGGGAGAGAGAGAGATATGATAGGAGTGGTAGAGGTGAACGGCACAAAGACGGGGATGAAGAGGATAGAGTTAGGGGAAGGCATAGGGATAGACATGAAAGGCATAGGAGAGATGGGTATGAAGAAGATGGGGATAACAGGGAGGTTGATGATGATAGGAGGGACCGAAGAGATGGTGGGTATTACTCCAATGAGCCTGAATTGTATCAGGTTTATAAGGGAAGAGTGTCAAGAGTGATGGATACAGGTTGCTTTGTTCAGCTCAATGATTTTAGGGGCAAAGAGGGCCTGGTCCATGTTTCGCAGATGGCGAATCGAAGGATTGGTAACGCTAAGGATGTTGTAAAACGGGATCAGGAGGTTTATGTGAAAGTGATATCAATGTCGGGACAAAAGTTGAGTCTTTCAATGCGGGATGTTGATCAGGATACTGGTAAAGATCTGCTTCCATTGAAGAAGAGCTCAGATAATGACCCTTTTCGGACTAACCCTTCTGGATCAAACAATGGGGGGCCTATGACTAGGACTGGTCTTTCAGGGATTAGAATTACTGAAGAGGATGATACTGTCCCATCACGGCGACCATTGAAGAGAATGAGTTCACCGGAGAAATGGGAAGCTAAGCAGCTGATCGCTGCAGGTGTTCTGGATGCTAGGGAGAATCCCATGTATAATGAAGATGGAGATGGGTTGCTCTATCAAGAAGAGGGTGCTGAGGAAGAGCTTGAAATTGAGCTAAATGAAGATGAACCAGCCTTCTTGCAAGGACAGAGCCGATACTCTATGGATATGTCACCTGTTAAGATTTTTAAGAATCCAGAAGGGTCATTGAGTCGTGCAGCAGCCCTTCAATCTGCTCTCATAAAGGAGCGGAGAGAAGTAAGGGAACAGCAGCAGAGAACAATGCTCGACTCTATCCCAAAAGATCTTAATCGTCCGTGGGAAGACCCAATGCCAGAAACAGGTGAGAGGCATCTTGCACAAGAGCTTAGGGGGGTTGGTTTATCAGCCTATGACATGCCTGAGTGGAAAAAGGATGCTTTCGGGAAAGCCCTGACTTTTGGGCAGAGATCAAAGCTCTCCATCCAGGAGCAGAGGCGGAGCTTGCCTATTTTCAAATTGAAGAATGAATTGATTCAGGCTGTTCATGACAATCAGGTTCTGGTGGTGATTGGTGAGACCGGTTCAGGCAAGACAACACAGGTGACTCAGTATCTAGCTGAAGCAGGGTACACGACCAAGGGCAAGATTGGCTGTACTCAGCCCCGTCGAGTGGCTGCAATGTCAGTGGCCAAGAGGGTTGCTGAAGAGTTTGGCTGCCGATTAGGAGAGGAAGTTGGGTACACCATTCGTTTTGAGAATTGTACTGGACCTGATACAGTAATCAAGTATATGACCGATGGTATGCTTCTGATAGAGATTTTGATTGATGAGAATTTATCTCAGTATTCAATTATAATGCTTGATGAAGCTCATGAGAGGACAATCCACACTGATGTCCTTTTTGGACTGTTGAAACAGCTTGTAAAGAGGAGACCTGACCTTCGATTGATTGTCACATCTGCCACATTAGATGCAGAGAAATTTTCGGGTTATTTCTTTAACTGCAATATCTTTACAATTCCTGGAAGGACTTATCCGGTGGAGATACTCTACACCAAGCAGCCAGAAAGTGACTACCTAGATGCATCTCTAATCACTGTTCTACAGATCCACTTGACAGAACCTGAGGGTGATATCCTCCTCTTCTTGACTGGTCAAGAGGAGATTGATCACGCGTGCCAATGCCTTTATGAGAGGATGAAAGGTTTAGGGAAAAATGTTCCCGAATTAATTATTTTACCAGTCTATAGTGCACTTCCGAGTGAAATGCAATCCAGGATCTTTGACCCTGCTCCTCCAGGGAAGAGGAAAGTGGTTGTAGCAACCAATATCGCAGAAGCATCCTTGACCATTGACGGAATATATTATGTGATCGACCCTGGGTTTGCTAAGCAAAATGTTTACAATCCTAAACAAGGGCTTGATTCACTTGTCATAACACCGATTTCACAAGCATCAGCTAAGCAACGAGCTGGGCGTGCTGGACGAACTGGACCAGGAAAATGTTACCGCCTTTACACCGAAAGCGCATTTCATAACGAAATGTCGCCCACCTCAATTCCAGAAATCCAAAGGATAAATCTTGGAATGACTACACTTACTATGAAAGCTATGGGAATAAATGATCTCCTATCTTTTGATTTCATGGACCCACCTTCTCCTCAAGCTCTCATTTCTGCCATGGAACAGTTGTACAGTCTAGGAGCTCTGGATGAGGAGGGGCTTCTGACCAAATTGGGTAGGAAAATGGCAGAATTTCCACTGGATCCACCGTTGTCTAAGATGCTACTTGCCAGTGTAGATCTTGGATGTAGTGATGAGATTTTAACCATTATTGCAATGATTCAGACTGGAAACATCTTCTACAGGCCCAGGGAGAAGCAAGCCCAAGCTGATCAAAAAAGAGCCAAGTTTTTCCAGCCTGAGGGAGACCATCTGACTTTACTTGCTGTTTATGAGGCTTGGAAGGCCAAGAATTTTTCGGGTCCATGGTGTTTTGAGAACTTTGTTCAGTCCCGATCTTTGAGGAGAGCACAGGATGTCCGGAAACAGCTTCTCACTATTATGGACAAGTACGCTCTTCTAGCTCTTTGTGTTGCAATTTGCTTCAATAATTCTTTCTTGTTAAGGGCTTTTGCTAAATGCATTGCATTTACATTTCTTGCTTCAAGCCATTTCATTTGCATGGGACCTCTGTTATGGATGTGCATGTTTCTTTTCCCTTTCAATTATTTTCTGTGTTTGTCAACTTTGTATAGTCCTGTCCTGTTTGGTTGCTGATAGAAATAAGCAGAATGGAACCAAAAAATAACAAACTGACTTTTACTCAACTGTTTTCTTTATCCTGTTGGTTGATTCATCTGGATAATACTCATAGTTTTTTTTTTGGGGGGTCAAAGATGCTTCCTTTACTTAAAAGATTGATGTTGTTACCATTGAGATAGAAAGTTTCTCATTCATAATTTTGTCATTTCATGGTGAATTAAAGTTTCCCATTCATAATTTTGTCATTTCATGGTGAATTGCATCCATGTTTGATCCGACATGGCCTACTTGCTAGTTGTTGAACCTAATATTTGGAAGGAAATGTTTATTGGTGTCTTTAGATTGCTGTTAGGATATTTTAGCTTGTGATATATGGGTCCATAAATATTTGAAAAATCAAACTTTATTATTTACCGAGAGGGTGCATGAAACTGTGTTTTCCAGCATTATTCTACCATGCTTTACTGTTGTTTTCCGAGTTACTTCTATGGACATGTTTTCTTGGTCAAATATATGCAGTGCTCTCAAACTTAATATTTGTTTTGTGCCATTAATACTTTCTTGATCTGATTGCCTTGTTAGTTGCCAAAGGTTCTCATGGTACTTCCTGTGTAGGTTTGTCAATAACTTTGAGTAACCTTAAGAGCTTAGAAGCACAGACACGTACACGTACACGGACACACCAATTTTCAAAAAATTGCAGCACACGAAACGTGGGGGACATGGACAAAATATATAATTTTATATATTTATTATATGCCATATCTATGAATATATCATTCAAAGATAATAAAAAAATGTAATATAACAATTGTTTTATAAATTTACATTGTTTTTTTCTTTTATTATTGTGTCCTAAGTTAGTTCAAACTTGTAACTAGTTTCATGAGTGTCTAATCGGTAGACACGTGTTCAAGCAAAGTGTCCAAAGAGTGTCCGGATTTGAAAAGTTTTATAAAAAATAAGACACATTTTGACGAGTGTCGGACACGTGTTGGGAAGTGTCTAACGAGGTTAGAACTGTTTGTGCTTCTTAGCTTAAGAGTCACCTGTAGCATATTTGTGTTGGTTCTTTATAAACTAGACATGCTTCGGACACCTAGGACACATGTGTCCATCATTTGGACAAACATGGACTTTGAGTAAAATAATTTGATCGTCAATGAGTAAAATCAAAACAATTTGGATTTATGTCTATTAATCCCCTCCCCTTTGTTTTGTTTTGTTTTTCTTTTTTAAAATAAAATAAAATGAACTAAAAACCCTAAAAACTCTAATTTGTTTTTTAATAAAGATTTTTAAAATAGATAATTAAGACTTTTTGCTGACACTCAATTGTGTAGAAGTTGGAAAATGATTTTTTTATTTTATTTTGATATAATAAAATATAAATATTTTTGTAACGTAAAAAATAAAGTTATATTTTCATGTGGAAGCATTTAGGAAACGAAACAGTATCTTTTGGGCCTCACACTAGATATTCTTCTAGATTGGATTTGAATCAAATCTCAATTCGTCCACTTTATCCATTGGCAGCTCCCATCGAGCTTCTAATTCCCATGTTTGATCTCTTCCATCTCTGCCTCGCTCATTGTCACCTATGTTGAAGAAATGTTTGGGACCCTGTAAAGAATGAAAAGGGCCAAGGATCTTCCTCTCAACAGTGCTTCTCGAGGCTCCACACTCCCCTTGAATAAGTAAGGCCCCATTAGCCTGGGCGAAGATGGGGATAAGGAGTAAGGATTGAAGCCCCCTTCTCATATTGAAATTTTGATACCCTTGCATTAAATGTTAAATGGACAAATCAATGTTCCTTAACATGCTAAGAGATCACCAATCGTTCTTATCTCATGTCCACAAATGAAAGAAAAACCTTCAAATTTCTTTACTTGCCAATTTGTTTTTTTAGTCAACATCCTGTGTATTAGAACTTACAAAAGCCGCTCACTGAAATTAGAACAGAAGAGCTTGGATAAATTGGCCTTTATAATATGTGAAGCATTTCCTTCTCCTTACTCTAGTTGCTTCTTTTTGCAATTGCTTGCCCCCACCACCGAGCTACCACCATCTTCTTATACTATGAAGCACTGACACCTCAAAACAAGTGCCGTAGCCGTGTCGGACACACAGACACGGCCAGGACAAGGTGGGGACATGTATGTGGCGTGTCCCCTTATTTAATTAATTTATTTTCAAGAGACATGTCAGGGACACACTAAGGATATGCCAACTTGTCTATTTCATCATTTTCTTTAGTGTTTTTGATAAATGTTAAATATTGAATGTTTATTGTTTTTTCTTTTCATTTTTTTTTGTTTTTTGTTTTTTTGTTTTCCTGAGATTTAAATATTTAATAAATCATCCATAAAAAAAGATATAACTGGAAGCGTTAATTTAAAAGTAATTTTTTTTTTTTTTTAAATATAGGGTTCAAGTTAGATTTTATTAATATTTATTGTTTGTGTATGTAATGTTAATCTAGATAGCAAATAAAGATATATGAAAATATATTTTATTGTTGTGTCCCCGTCGTGTCCGTGTCCGTGTTCCCATTTTTTTGACATCACTGTGTCCCTTGTCCGCATCCGTATCCGTGCTTCTTAGTTCTTATACAATCTAAAAAAAAAAAGAGAAAAATCAGAAAATGTACAACTAAATCTAATTTTCAGAAGACCTAACCTTCTCAAGCCACACATCTCTCTCTTGGTGACAGAGGTGAACAAACCCATTTGAGATAAAACTCACATCTGTCTCTTCGTCCACATAAACCCACTCTAGAAGAGCCAACACATTTCAATACTAATGAACCCATTGAGAGAGAGAGCCAAGCAAGGTATGTCCATATGGGAATGGTATTTTCATTCTTGGGTTGTGTACTTTGAGCTCACTTTATGAGCTTCAATGTCAGACCAAGTGTGTTGATTAAATTGGTTGTCACAACCCCCAATTTGGCTGCTGTGAAGAAGAGAAGTGAGCAGATTACATTGTGTTGTCATGGATTTGTGGTGGAGGTGCTTGTTCATTGTGCTGCCATGTAGTGTTTTAAAAAGTCCTGGGTGCATCGAGGCGCCAAGGTCACCTGGAGCCTAAGCCCCGAGGTGCGAGGCGAGGCGAGTGCCTCACCAAAGCGAGGCGCAAGTTATAGAAGTTAAGCAAAATATTAATAAAGCACAATTTCCAATATAAACAAATATTTAATATGTATATTATTAATTTTTTTAATAAGAAAAAAAAATAATTAATTTTTTAATCTATATATTATTTAATTTATTTATTATCTATTAATATGTATATTATTATCTATTATATGTATATTATTATCTATTAATTATCTATTAATTTTTTTTAATTTATTTATTTAATATGTATATTATTATCTATTATTTATTTATTATCTATTATTATCTATTAAGCAAAATATTAATTTTTAATATATATATATATATATATATGATGCGTAGTATAATTATTTAGAGCAATTTAGATGGTTGGTGTCATCAAAATGATAATATCAAAGTTAATTTTTGATATGTATATATGAATACAGAAGATAAAAGGGAGAGATAGATCACGAGAGAGAGAGAGAGAGTGATCATGAACGAGAAACGAAGCAGAAGAGAGAGATCGCGACCGCGATCGTGAGAGAGAAGGTGAGAGAGAGAGAGCTCGCGATCGTGAAACAGAAACGAAGCAGAAGAGAGAGAGCGATCGTGAAGCAGGAGCAAGAAGAAGACAGAAAGAAGGGAAGAGACGACGAAGCAGAAACGAAGCAGAGGAGAAGAAGCAGAGAGAGGAGAAGAAGCAGAGAAGAGAAGAGGAGAAGAGAGTAGAACCTGGGAGTGGAAGAAAGCCGAGGCGCACAAGGCACTCGCCTTGCTCTTCGTAATAAGGCGCTCGCCTCATCGCCTAGGCAGAACTTCACCTGTGTCGCCTCGCCTCACCATGACTGAGGCGCAAAGTTGCGCCTTGCCTCGCCTTGAGCTTAGGCGCGCGCCTAAGCGCGAGAAGCAGAGAAGAGAAGAGAAGAGGAGAAGAGAGTAGAACCTGGGAGTGGAAGAAAGCCGAGGCGCACAAGGCGCTCGCCTTGCGCTTCGTAATAAGGCGCTCGCCTCATCGCCTAGGCAGAACTTCACTTGTGTCGCCTCGCCTCACCATGACTGAGGCGCAAAGTTGCGCCTTGCCTCGCCTTGAGCTTAGGCGCGCGCCTAAGCGCGCTTTTTAAAACACTGCTGCCATGTGTTTGATGGGGCCCCGCACAAGCAGTGGAAAATGTGGTTTAATTCAATGTAAAGCAAACCTTGCCAGGGCTTGACATGACGCAAAACCTCTTGAAAGAGACGGGGTACCTTCGGGAACGCGGACACAAGTGGTGCATTGGGTGAGAGACCAAACTTTGGGTGGTAGTGGAGGGAGGTGTTTGGTTACAATGATAATATATAGAATACGGATGTTTGGTTATGTTTAGAAAGGTGGTTTTCGTATTTAAACGCTTAAAAATGCTGACATCATTTTTTTGGGGTAGTAGTCCAACGGTAACTTAATAAATAGTAGGTTTGTGTATATTGTCAACTAAAGTAAGAAAGGTTGGTGTAATTTCAAAAACCTCAAGAGAAGTCCCTATAATTATCAAAAATCTTAGGGGAGCTTGTAGTGTAATCAGCCCATTGTTAAATTAAAAGGGAAATACAAAGTTGAAGCGTGAGAAAGAAAAATCAATTAGGAGCAAGTTCATATGTTCCTCACTTTAGTATTTTGTAGATTCTGACATTTGGGGATAGATGGGACTTCAAAAAGAGTAGTAAACAATTTTCTTAAAATTAATATATGATTTTGCATGAAATGTAAGTGAAATTTATATGTTATCAGGACAGACAGAAAGAAAAATTCATATGGAAATTTCAGTAGTCATGATAAGAACCATAAACATGTATTGTTACCATAGTAAAGCTGTAGTGTAATCTCGTTTATTATATTGCTAAAATTGAGTTATTTTTCTATGCTTACTTTGTTCTGTAGGGATTTAAGATGGATGAGTAGCGAGGATTAAATCAGAGATAGGAGTTTGGGGGTGGGGATTAGATTGGAATATATTAGGTGCTCTTGTTAGTGGAAAAATAATAGTAGTCTCCTTAAGAATGGGGTGTTGGAGTGGAGTGCACAATCTCTGACAGAAGAAACGAGAATAATATTCTTCACAAACCAAAATATAAATTTAACCTTCATACGAGGGTCATGATGGCTATTGAAATAGCACTTTTTGTATGTTTGTTGTACTAAAATCAGATTGTGAAACTTGTACACAAAAAGTGTGAAATTGGACTGCCCAATATGTTGAACCCATAAGTTACTATGTATGATCATCGATCCCCCTTCCTCTTACGAAAAATATAAAATAGAGATGAGTAAGAAGAAAATAAATTAAAGAGATTATTGAAGTGATTGGAATACCTGTGAACATCAGTCCCCCCCCCCACATAAGAATGAATGTAATGGAATGTAATGTACATTAATTATTAATTCACCTTTAATTAAAAAAAATAGAAAATTGATTCATAACATTAATTAATTCATATATTACATACATTACAAGAAAATTAAATGTAACATAAGAATGAATGTAATGGAATGTAATGTACATTAATTAATTAATTCATCATTAATTAAAAAAATAGAAAATTGATTCATACATTACATGAAGGCTCAAGGCGCATGTTGACAAGTAGTAGCCAAGGTTCATCCAGAAAGAAAAAAAAATTCATATGGAAAGAAAAGGTTACCAGAAATGTAAGTTATGTAAATTTCACTTACATTTCATGGATGAACCTTTTCTTACATAACTTACATAACACCGCAAGCCAAGGTTGCCCCCCTCCCCCCCCCCAAATTTTAGCATAGGCCGGGGGGGTCAAGTGTCCCCCTCTCAAATTTTAATATTTATACTAGTATATCTATCTATAAAGATAATGTCTTATTTATTTTGCATAAAATTGTAGTAGTGCCCCTCCTTAAATCATGTAAAGTATTCTTGTATTTTTAAAATTTTATAAATGCACCATTCTATCCTTCTAGCCATCCTAATGTACTTTTTAGTGGAAGGTCAAGAGGTATTGTGGGATTCGTTGTTGGGTTGGTTGATAGAGTTTGATTTGTTAATTGTAGATTCAGTTGGTTGTTTCTCACTCATTGTTGGATTAATAGAATTTGGTTGGTGGTTGTGATTTTGTAAGCCACGTTGAATTTTTTTTTTTTGAATGTCTGAGTTTAATAATATCTCGTTGTTATTTTATTATGGAAAAAAAAAAAAATTTGTTATGATTAATATGTACCCCTACATTGAATTCCTAGCTCCACCACTCCTCCATGGCATCTTAAACTTAAACCATTATACGCAAAGCTCGATAATAGATAAGCATTTGATCATTGTGTTGTATAAACAAAACATTTTCATGTGCACTTGACTGTATAATTTCTGGTAGTTACATTAATTTGCAGTGAATAATCATTGATTACTCTAATTAAAAAGAACAATGGAATAATTTTAGACCTTAACTTCTTTCATAAGTTTCTAACTGATGCTGCAATGCAGGTATAAATTGGACGTTGTTAGTGCTGGGAAAAATTTCACCAAGATTAGGAAAGCCATCACAGCTGGGTTTTTCTTTCACGCAGCAAGAAAGGATCCACAAGAGGGTTACAGAACACTGGTCGAAAACCAGCCCGTTTACATACATCCGAGCAGTTCTCTTTTTCAGAGACAGCCAGACTGGGTCATCTACCACGAGCTGGTAATGACAACAAAGGAGTACATGCGAGAGGTCACAGTTGTCGACCCTAAATGGCTTGTGGAACTAGCACCGAGATTCTTCAAAGTAGCAGACCCCACAAAAATGAGCAAGCGCAAGCGTCAAGAACGCGTTGAACCGCTTTATGATAGATACCATGAACCCAATTCTTGGCGTTTGAGTAAAAGGCGGGCTTGATTTTTGCTTCATTTGTCATTACTTTGGGTTGATTCCAGACTTGAACTTTGATTCATTGGTGAGGCGATTTTTTGACACTTGAAAATGGGATCCTTTCAACACAAAGATGTTTATTTTTTATAGAATGGTGTTGTATTAGTGATGGGGTTGATTAAGCATAGGACAGATTGAGGTTTAATGATGTAAATCTTGGACTTTGTTGAATGAGATGCACTAAAAGCTTTTTGTACTACAACCCTTTTGATGCCTTGTTGGTAATTTTATGAGGGTGAATTTCTTTTATTTATCTAATTAATGGAGATTTCTTGTACTTTGTTTAGACCTATTCTCAGTTGTAAATGCTCCCATTAGAAATTCCAAGGAATATTCATGATATGTGACTAATGTTATAAATGACCCTTTTACTTGCTAAATATGACCTTTTTTTTTTTCGGGATAAAGGTCACTATTGTGCTGCTTGCACAGCCGTGACTGTTGTGCGGCTTATGGGAATGATTTTGGACTTTATTTGCATCATTTGAACCGTTTAATTTTTAAAGAACATCGAGTAGAATATATTTGTAAAAAATTAAGTTAATCGGATATCAATAGACTATTTATCTACTCATATTTGTATTTAGTTTAATACTTATATATTTATTTTTTATATATGCAAATTCGAGTTGATGAAAGGTCTGTCGATATCCAATCAACTTGATTTTTTACAAGTATGTTCTACTCGACGTTCTTTAAAAATTGAACAACTCGAATAATGAAAATAAAATTCGAAATAATTTGCATGAACCGCACCAGAGTTGCTGCTGTACAAACCCAACATCCTTTATTCTACCTTGGTTCTTTAAAAAAATGTTCTTTCCAATTTTGATTCCTAAGCTATTCTACTGTGGGTTCAATTGCTAACCGCGGTGACAATCAGGGGCAATTTTAGTATTTCAAAAACAATCACTTTTTACTTTTGCCCTCAACCTAGACCCAAATCCAAATTTAATACAACCTAAAACCAAACCCAAACTCAAACTCAAACTCAAACTCAACAACCAATAGCTACCGCCCTCTCTTTGACATTGTTTGCATCGTTTCGATGGATCTCACTTCATATATCTTCTTATACTGTTTGTCTTCCTCTATCTCTCTCTTCTTGTAGACCCAAACCATCTATTATAATTTAGTAAAAAAGTGAAGATTAATCATCTACTATAATTCAAAAAAAAAAAAAATGTAAAAATGACAATTGTATGGTAACAAATATGGAGGTTCAGGATTGGAGAGAGAGAGAGATTGGAAATGGGTGTAGAGAAGATGAGAGAATTGTGATGACTTTTGAGAGGAGATGAGAGAAATGACATTGGTCTAGAGAAATGAAGAGAGAGTTGTAAGGTAAAGAATTGAGGAATGATGTCGAGGAGGTAGCACTAGTTTGAGGAGGATGGAATGACAGTCATAATTATGATAGAATAGAAATTGATACACAACTATCACTGTTATGTGGTCAATATGATTCATTCTGAGTTATATTTCGATAATATAAACCTTTACTTTTTAAGGTAAATTTAGTAGAATATATTTGTAAAAGATCAATTTGATTGGATATCAATAACTGTTTCATCTTATCGCATTTGTATTTTAAAAAATGAATGATTAATGTAATTTTTTTGTGTATAAAACTGAATACAAATATACTTAGATGAAAGGATAATCAATGTCCGATTAATTTCATTTTTTACAAATATGTTTTACTTGATATATTTTAAAAAGTAAATGATTCGAATCATCGAAACACAGCTTGAAATGAGCTTAATTGGCTATACAACAACTACCCATCTTTCAAGAGGATATAAGTTGGAAAAGTACTAATGGCTAGAGAGACGAGGTGTAAAAGAGATGAATGCGAGGATGATATGGTAAGATTCCATTTGAAGACAATACATTTCTCTCTTTTTTGTTTTTCTAGGTCACATTTTTTTTAGTATTTTGTTAGTTGTATGAATAAAAAAATGATATTATATCAACTTATCACTTATATTAATTTCAATCATTATAGCCTTATTGAAAAAGATTTTAGTGTAATTACACTAAATTTATGGAACTTCTTGTGTTTTTTTCTAAATCACAAGAGTAGGCAATGTAATTTACCAATTTTTTTTTCATTGAATAGATAATTTAGAGATCAAAATGTGTGAGCCATTTTTGGGAGGGTCCAAGTAAGAAAATGCTATGCTTTAGCGGTGAAAGTCTAATTAACCCATAAATTTTCATCCTTTTACAACATACAATTATTGGTTGGTTTAAGGCACGGAGGTCAATCACAAACTTTTTCTATCCTTCGTATTTTTAAATATTTAATATAAAATTATCACTCACTTTCTCTATCAATCAAAAACACATATGAGACGTGGCAGTGTCCAAAAAAAAAACGAATAACTTCTCGTCATTCACAGCTTACAAACCCTGAGAGTGAGAAAAGTGCATTTCCACAGCTCCAACAACCAATGTAACTGAAAACATCACATTCGAAGCCTCTTGGTCCAAATTGTTCATGCAACCCTCTTGGATCATTTGTTGAAGAAGAGCTATAAAGAGAAGGGTAATAATCGAATTTCTGAAATTTTATTATTCTAGTGAGTGATCAGTAGTTTTCATATTATGGGTGTTGGATATTGTTTCTCGTTGTTTAACTCCCAAGGGTTGACCTAGTGGTGTAGGCTTGGGACTTAGGAGTTTACTTCTCTCTAGATCTTAAGTTCAAAACTTCTTAGGTGCTATCAATCTTTGTGCTAGGTCAGTCTATACAGAGTTTTGCTCTGACTTTAAATGGCCCTCTTGCTAGTGGACGTTTAAATGGACCCTTCACTAGTAGACGGTGGGATTGGTCCCCAGGAATTAGTCGAGGTGCACGCAAGCTGGCCCGGATACCTGAGTTATCAAAAAAAAAAAAAATTGTTTCTCGTTGTTTGGTTTTGAGAATTTTAAGATATAATCAAACATTTCAAGATTTCCAAAATAATAATAATCATTTTGCTTGGTTATCATTTTTCAAAAATACTTTTCAGAAAATTTTACTTTCTTATTTTCGGTATTTTTTTGTTTTTACTGAATTTTTTTAATATTTTAAATATTTTTTTTTAATTTTTAGACATATCTAACATAAATATACTTAAAACGTAAAAAATTTGTGAAAAAAAACCTTTTAAAAATTCACTAAATATCAAAAATACAAAAAAATACAAGAATATCCGTCCGCCAAATTGGCGGATTGGAGAAAATCAATCCGCAACCGTCCGCTCATCATCACGCATCCGTCCAAAATGCGGCGGATCGGTTTGGTTCGGTCGGTTTTGACGGATCAGTATATCCGCTGCTCACCCCTAATTTCCACAACTCCAACAACCAATGTAACTGAAAACATCACATTCGAAGCCTCTTGGTTCAAATTGTTCATGCAACCCTCTTGGATCATTTGTTGAAGAAGAGCTATAAAGAGAAGGGTAATAATCGAATTTATGAAATTTTATTTTTCTAGTGAGTGATCAGTAGTTTTCATATTATGGGTGTTGGATATTGTTTCTCGTTGTTTAACTCCCAAGGGTTGACCTAGTGGTGTAGGCTTGGGACTTAAGAGTTTACTTCTCTCTAGATTTTAAGTTCAAAACTTCTTAAGTGCTATCAATCTTTGTGCTAGGTCAGTTCATACAGAGTTTTGTTCTGACTTTAAATGGCCCTCTTGCTAGTGGACGTTTAAATGGACCCTTCACTAGTAGACGGTGGGATTGGTCCCCAGAAATTATTCGAGGTGCACGCAAGCTGGCCCGGATACCTGAGTTATCAAAAAAAAAAAAAAAAATTGTTTCTCGTTGTTTGGTTTTGAGAATTGTAAGATATAATCAAACATTTCAAGATTTCCAAAATAATAATAATCACTTTGCTTGGTTATCATTTTTCAAAAATACTTTTCAGAAAATTTTACTTTCTTATTTTCGGTATTTTTTTGTTTTTACTGAATTTTTTTAATATTTTAAATATTTCTTTTTAATTTTTAGACATATCTAACATAAATATACTTAAAAAGTAAAAAATTTGTGAAAAAAAACCTTTTAAAAATTCACTAAATATCAAAAATATAAAAAAATACAAGAATTTAGTACATTTTTTGTATTTTTATGTATTTATTAATTTTTTAAAATATTTTTCACAATTTTTTTACTTTTTAGATACATGTAAGTAAGGTGCATCTAAAAAAGTTAAAAAAAATGTTCAAAATTTTAAAAATATTAACTAAAAACAAAAAAATACAAAAACCAAAAAATTTAATTTTCAAAAAAATTAATTCAAAAAACTCAAACTAAACATACTGAATAATAATTTGTTTTTGCTTTTGAGATTCATTGACCACTCTCTGTTTTTTAATGTATTATTTCCCTATGTTTGAAGATTCTCTGTTACCTCTATGCTCCGTTATCTTTTTTTATTTGCATTTCATATTTGCAACATTTGCATACAGTATATGTTATCAGTGATTTAGCAATGGGTTTGCAATTTTCTGTTTTTGGACCAATGGTTTATTTTACTTATTTTGCTGATTGGCAACCAATGGTTGAAAGTTTCATTTTTCTCTTCCCTTTACAAATATACAGGGCTTAGGCTTAGTAATTGCATGGTATATGTGGTGGACATGTGATGGACGAGTGACTACATGTATTTGGAAATTAGTTGGACTATCCTGGACACCCTTGTGAGCAAAGAAAAAAAAAACAAAGAAACACTGACAGATTGTCTTTTATTGGTAATTATGTGGTGTAATTTATAAATGAGAATTAGTTGGGGCGAACTGGACATGTATAACGAACTTACAGAGTGTCATTTTTCCCTTTGTTTTTTTAAATATATTTTTGGGGTTTTTCCTAATGTACGGGATATTAGACTTTGAGAATATTCGATACCCTTCTCTCTTATCATGTTTGATTCACAAGATTAATAGTGAAATATTAATAATCCTATTAAATTAGTGTGGTATTCATTATCTAATTGGATTAATATCTATTGGATTAATAATCCCACCCCTACCACATTACTAATAATCCTACAAATTTATTGGATTAATTATCTATTGGATTAATAATCCTAAACCAAAATGTTAAAACAAACATAGGATATTTAGGCCCATGGATTAATAATCTCCATCCCATCCTCTAATCTACCCAATCAAACATGCCCTCTGGTCATGTTGGATTCACAAAATTAATAGTGAAGTATTAATAATTCTATTAAATTAGTGTAGTATTCACTATCCAATTGGATTAATATCCATTGGATTAATAATCT